ATTTGTGAATTTCCTGCATTGTGTAGGGGGTTGGACTAGATGACCCTGGAGGTCCCTTCCAACTCTATGAATCTATTAAATTATTGCAATATGCTCTACATGGGGCTATCTTTGAGAACTGCCTGGAAACTCTCGTTGCCCAGGAAGGGTGCATGGACAATAGCAGGCAGATGCTGTCCCTTGCCCACCTCTAATCCACTTCCTGCTGCTTCCACTGTAGGCTCTTCTGTGGAACCAGTCCAGCTAACTCTCCTAGGATATTATACTTTAACCTAAAAGGCAGCATTATTCAACAAAAACAACAACGACAACAAAAGGTTGTCAAAAGGAGACTTCAGTATGAAATTGTAGAAGTAGAATTTACAGCAAGTTTTATACTACTTATTTAGACCTATAATTGAGAGGAGGGATTTCTGTCCCACTAAAGGTGTTAAATTAATAAAGCAAAATAAGGAGAACTGTATTACCACTAGTTACTATTTAGCTTGTTTGCATTTGAGCTTTGCATTGAAATGTACCTCTTACATTTCTTGGCTCCTCTGTTTACAAGTTCTTTTTCTATACCCACACATGTATGTATTTGGGCGATGAGAAAAACTTTGTGCATATGATGCGCTGGGCTCTAATTCACAAATAGGGTTGCCAAGTCAATTTTTCTTACCGGCGGGGGAGCCTCGCTGGGCTCCGGGAGCCGTACGTCAATGTGTGCGCACGTGCGCCGCCAGCACATCACTGAAAGTGACGTGCGATGTCGATCACGTTGAAGGCGTGGCCCCGATCATCGGAGGGAAAACCACAGAGTTTTCCCTCCGACGATCGGGGCCACGCCCCCAACGTGATTGATGTGGTTGCGTCACCTCTGGTGATGCAGCCACGCTGTGCTTTGGGGGGCGGAGTTCCCCCCGGGGCCCAATTCCGCAGTGGGGGGGAATTGGGCCTCCAAAGCGGGGGTTTACCCACCCCCCGCCCCCACTTGGCAGCCCTATTCACAGAAGTGCATACCACCATAAATCTATTACTTTAAATTGTCACAATAACCTTTGTTGTTTTAGAAACAGGAGCGTTCATAACACAGTTCCTACACATTACCTACCTACCTATGGGTCTGAGGGACTCATATAGAAACAGAGGTGGAGAGATGTTGTGAACCTGTGTGGCTGCTAACAGAACTCAAGAATATAGGACACTCTACCTGCCACATCACACTTTAAAAATAATAATACTAAAACCATCCCAGGCTGGTACAATTTTAAATGAGCATTCCAATTGCATTGTATGAACTCTATTTTGTTAAACTAACACCTACTTTTAAAAACATCAAGAATCAAAACTAATGCACTCTCATTAATGTAAGAATGGAAAGATGTATTCCAGTGGCCGTCCTAGTAAACTCAGGTAGCACACTCCTGGGACCATAAAGTCCTCTTTCATCACAATGTGTACTGTAATTACATAAACACAGTCACGTTAACATTAACTAATCACCAAACTTTTTGATCCTGCGGGCACCTTTGGAATTCTGACAAAAGGTGGTAGGCAACTACAAAAGGGCTGCTACGGGATGTGGAGCCAACCACATAATGGCTGATATAGGTGGAGAAGCCAGCCACAAAATGCGATTCATGCAGAAGGTCTGTTTAACAGGATGTCTTTTAAAATGAGCATATTGTTTAAAAATATTTTCTTGCATATGCACAGTTTACCTTCAGTCATACAGTGCAGATCCTTAGGCTTTGGTGGCAGTTGCTAAAGAAGCAGCTTTATAATAATCTGCACAGTCAATCAGATCTCCAATGGCCAATCAGAAGCCCTGTTGGGTAAAACCCCTACCCAGCACCACCCACTTTCTAAAAACATTCAGCAGGTGCCAGGAAAGATGTCAGCAGGCCCTCTAGTGCTGATGGGTCCCACATTGGGGATCCTTGTTCTATAGACACAATTTCATAATTTCTACTAGTGGCTTATTTTTTAAAATTAAATTTTAAACTGCACTTAAAACCCACGGTTGACTAGAGAGCCTTCTGTGATGGACTGTCAAGGGTTAATGCCTAGCAGAGTATACCATAGTATGCCAAAATACGTTATGCTACTTCTAGGTTTCTTATAATCCAATATTAGAGTTTATTTTTTACGCTTCTTTCTCTTGACTGTTGATGTCTTTGGATCTGCCGCATCTTTCTCAGAGTCTGAAGTTGTACTGCTGGATTTCCTTGACTTGCTTGAAGAATCATCAATTTCCTCGCCACTATATTCCTCTTCTTCGCCATCATCATCATCATTCAGGTTTAATTGCTGTTTTAAGAAGCTTTTTGCCTTTTGGGCAGTGTCAATTTTAATTTTCTAATAGTTGAATTTGAACGTGAGTCCTTCTGGGAAAGTCGATCTGTATACAATTTGTTTATTTTGGAGAAAAAGAATCAAGTTTCTATATTGATGCCTTCTTTTCCCGATCTCAAATGGAATGTCTTTTAGGATTTTAATTTCCTCCTCCTGGATCTTTAGTATTTTCCCCAATGTGGCTTTAAAAACATTGTCTCTCATAGTTCTCTTAGAAAATTTCACATAGATTTCACCAGGCAGCTTATTTTTTCTTATAAAGTCCGGGTAAGTACGGTAAACCAAATCCATATCCTTCTGGAGGTCTTCTTGCTTGAGATCTGAAATTGATACAATTGCTTCGCTTAGAATAATTTTTAATCTCCCTTTTGCTCAGATAAACCTTGAAAGCGCAATTGGAGTTGCAGAAGTTGATTTTTTCCCGTGTTTCTTTCTTTTTTCTCCTCTGCCATCTTTTGCTCAATCTCTTTAGTCTTTCAACCTTCTTAATTTTTTGGTCCGTTTTGTCAGCTCTCTTCCCCATTTGTAAGAGTTGTTTTTGCACAGAGTCTAGCTTTGTGTTCATAGTCGACATCTGCTCCAGCAGAGGGCGCAATGCAGAGGCCAGCATGTTGGGAAAGTCTGGAGTCGTCTCTAGGGATTGGTTGGGAGTGGTTGTTACTGAGCTTCCAGGAGGATGTTTCTTCTCTGCCCCCGTTCTTTTCCCTCTACCAGCCATTGTTTTTGATTTTATTACGAGAAAGTTTATAGTTTTAAAGTAAAAGTCAACCGCTTCTTGGATTAAATTACACCTTTCAAGCTTGAATAGTCTCATATGGTTAGTTATGCTTTCTCTATCTTTTTTGCCACGCTTACGGACCATTTCATTCGGGGGGGGGGGGGGGGAAACGGTGGTCAGCTCTAAGTGCCATAATGGCTCTGCGGCGTCAGGACCTTTCAGGGAAAAAATAAGCCTGAATCTCTAAGCCGTCGCTTTGAGAGAGGCTTATCTCAGCTCCCCAGGCTGGGGGGCCTTCTACAAAGGCCCCGAAGGGGTCTGGATCCAGCCAAGACCCCTCCTGATCACCCCAGCTTGGCGTGTCTCCATCAGAGCTAGATGGGACACGTCCAAGTGCAAGCCACCATGAACTGGAACCTCTCAAAAGAGGGATAACTCTTAAAAGAGGAGTGATCCCTGCTCTGGGTAGAAAGAAGGATTTTGAGAACTTTGTTGTGTGTTCCTGGCTTCTAAATGTGACATGTCAGTGAAACTCAGAAACTTATGCTTGTGAGTTAAAGCAGAAACTGAAAAGAAAGCCTCTTTCCTCAAAGTTTCAAAGACCTTGTGGAAAAGCAAGAACACTTACATGTTGGCAACATATTACCTGGATTTAGTGGTAGAACATCTGCTTGGTATGCAGAATATCCCAGGTTCAATCCCTGGCATCAGGTAGTAGGTGATGTGAAAGACCACCACCTGAGACTCTGGAGAGCCACTGCCAGTCTGAGTAGACTATACTGACTTTGATGGACAGATGGTCTGATTCAATATAAAGCAGCTTTGTGTGTGTGCATGCATGGACGCCTCAGTTTTTATTATCGGTTCACCTCATATATCCTACCCCTGATTCTACCTGACCTTTTCCCCACCAAGTTAAACAAAATGTTTTGTTTATTTTTGAACTTCCAAAGCCTCTCATGAGCTATTACAGAAGTGAAATATAAGTAGGTGATTTTGTCTCTTCCCTCAAGTCCCTGGGCTGGGCCAGCATCAAAATATATAAAAACGTGACAGGGTGGGACAGCCATAAACCAACAACAACAACAAAAAAGAAAATAGTAGGGGCTACTCAGCAAGAAAGAAAGAAGAAACAAAGGGAAAATCCTGTGTGTGAGGGAGGGAAGAGAGTGAGATTGCCATACCTTCCAATTAAGGAGAGAAGAATATTCTAACACAATCTAATTAAGATGCATCTGCAAGTGTGGAGCTTTCTCTTTCTGCAATGTCTGCCTCTTCTGTTGAATTCAGCTAACAGCATGTGCTGAGCAAAAAGGCCTACCCTTCTGCAACAGGAATGTAGTATGGATGATCAGAACTGTGTCCCAGCAGTCAGCCAACAGAACAATCAGGGACATGAGTGTTTAGGTATGGCAATGACCATTACTAAGTCTATGAAGGTAGCCCATTTTTGAGGCCTTTACTCACCAGAAGAGGGAGCTCTCTCCGCTTTTACAATGGAATTGTCTGGGGCAAAATGCAGTTTAGCCCTAGCCAATCACTGCCAGACTAGCACAGCTGTCATCAGTAACCAGGCAAATACTGATACAGATATGAATGGCAAGGACAACAGGAAGAACAGTACAGGTCTCTGTGATTCTGCAGAAGCCCAATCTCCCCTGTGCAGTCTTTCACTCCTCTCAATAGAAAAGCTGGATTTATCCATTAGCATTTTGGTAACATGGGACATATGACATGTTAAAACCTTAGTTTTCAGTGAATCCTAGAGTGGCACACTAACATAATGATGCCATTTCTGGTTTTGCGATGCTGAAGAGCCCCCCCCCCCATTTTCTGCTGCCACTGTCAAGCGATGGCAGGAACTTGCCCCCACTACAAAGCAATGCTTTTAGGGGGGGGGGGAAGGGCAACAAAAGACTACAGAGGAAGAGAAATAAACTCTTACCTGTACACTAGTAAGAGTGGTATATTGATAAGCTTTAACTACCAGGTAATTTGCTTCTATATCTATTATTCCAAGGATCATGTACTTCCACCATCTTCGTTTCAAGATTGCCAGTAAGTTTTCTTCTCCTGCATTGCCAGGGGTGGGGAAGAGATGAGAAGGAGAACAAAATTTAAAAGATTACAAGTATGTTACTGATAATAACTCATCTATTTTACAGGGAAGTACAGCTGAGGATCCCAAACAAGAGAACTACCATCAGGAGGAGCAAGGAAATAAACCAATAAATTGACCAACTGACCAATAAATTTGACCATCAGGCCGAGCTTTAAAAAAGCTGATTTGCTCCCCACTTCACTCTCCAGCCAACCCCTTCCCACTGTTCCTAAACTTTTATAACGGCCCTGCTCAGCCCATGCATACTGGAAGGCTGAGAGATCAGGAAGGAGCTCAAGTAAATTAAGATGGGATTAAGCAAGCTGTCAGTCTGGTATCCACTCTTCTTTGGCAAACTCAGGGCACCAGAGACCCAAAGCTCCTGGATGAATGGGCACAGTGGTAAAACAGTAACATTCACGATGCCTTTTCCAGCTTCCCCCATTCTGCCTCTGCCTTTCCCTTGTCCACACACTGCAGACAAAAGATGTTGTCCCTGACTGCATGGCGTCACTTCCAGGAAAAACCAGAGAATGACATCACGCTGTCACTGACAGCCACTCCCCATGTCCCCACCCCAGCTGGTCTTCCACTGGTTGCCAAACACCCCTAGATTCTCCCCTCACGTGATCCAATCTACTCTGCAAGAGATATCCAGCCAGAAGACCACAACCCTAATTGTTGGCTCAATGTTCAAAATCACTTGCACTCCCCAGGGCAAATGCTAGATTTTAAATATATATAATTTTGAATATCTTTTGCTACACAGTCTTGTTCCATCAGTTCTTCTTGGTCAATAAAACATATAATGCACTAGGGGATGCAAAAGGCCTTTTGTGAAATAGGACAACAAGAGTCCATGGCCTTCAGAGTAAACAAAGAGTTAGTGACCAAACAACCTTCACTCTGTTTACATACTTTAGTGGCCTAGTGTTTCCTTAGCTGCCACAGATTGACTCGAGTCAAGCATATTGGACTTGTTTAGAGGAAGGTTATATGAACATAATCAGGGTTTGAAATTTTTTTGCATAATTGGTAGCTCAGCGTCCAAGAATCGATTTCATGCAGAGCAGGAGTCGTTCTTCAATGCCCTTGCACACAAATCCTGTCAATCGCACAACCTGCAGTTTCCACTTGTGAAGACAGACAGTGCAACAAGAGTCACTGATTAAATCTAGAGCTTCCCAGAGGTTAAATGATCTTAGTGCTGGGCCAAATATTACACTGATTTAAAAGAAAACAAACAGCCATTGGGAACCAAGACCCATCCTTGTTTTCCTGATTTATCTTTCTGACAAGATTTCCTTGGGCTGCAGCATGAATTATTTGATACTGCTGCAAATGAACATTCTTAAACAGGAAATATGACATCTTAATTGTAACAAATAACAAGCTAGTCTGCTGTCTTAAGAACACTTTCCTGGGAGTAAGCCCACAGGAACAAAATGGCACTTCTGCTTAGCAGTACTCCCATAATAATTTACTAGGAGATATGAACTGGACCTAACCCTTATAACAGCTGTTTAAGGCAGGTCAGTATTATCACTATACTACAGATGGGGGTGGGGGTAGGATGGGGATGAGAGAAAGTATCTGAGGCTACCTGATGGGATTGCAGTGGAGGAGAAAACTGAACTGAGGGTTTACTGATGAACAGCTCAGTTTCCAGCTACTATGCTATACGATTATTCTTGGTAACGGGGGGGGGATGCTGTTGCTTATTCCAAAGTTATATGAACAATACAGCAAGGGCTTTACATAGTCCTCAGAACATAGGTATTTACTTACTTATTAATTTCTGCCCCACTTTCCTCCCCAGTGGGGACCCAAATGAGGAAAGTTTGCTACACAAACGGTTTTTCTGCATTCTCATTTTCCTCACTTAAAAAAAAAATACTTTCTTCAGGGGAGGGGTATGTGTTTGCGTTCCATATGTGTTTTGCTCCCTCTAGTGGTCAATTTGATATAACATCAGTTCATGTCCAGCATAAAAGCCTGCAGTTTAAATCTGCAGGGAGATATGCCGGACATAAACCATTGTAATACCTTTTCCTCAACTGATGTATTTTTTTTCCTGGTAACCAGAGAAGGTAATGAAACAGAAGATGGGGGAGTGGGAGTGAGAGGAAAAAAAGAAGGTACTGGGATAGGGTGGATCTACCAGCAAGCTGTGGGAAAAAATGAGAAAATACATTTAGTCTTCCAAATTGTCTAACACATACGCTATCCAGGAACGGGGTTGAGTAAACAGCTATTCCCAGAAGTTTCCCAGAAGTTTCACTGAGCACAGTGGGCTTACTTCTTAGCAAAGTCACAAACTTTTGCATGCATTGGGTTGCCAGATCCCTCCTGACAACCAGCAGGGGAGGTGGGGGGCTTACCGGGAGCAGTAGGGAGGCCCATCTGATGTACAGCGACGTGTCTACATCACTGCCCATATGACCCAGAAGTGACATCATCATGTCTGGGACATCGGGGTGATACTCTGGTATTTGGGCGAAACCTCTATGGTAAATTTCAGTTCTACCATACAGTTTTTTTTGCCAAAATACAGTTTTGCTCTGACATCCCTGATGTGATGACATCACTTCCTGGTCATGAGGGCAGTGAGGTAGGCACATCGCTGCACATCGATGGAGCTTCCTCTTTTGGGGGTAAGTTCCCCCACCACCAGCCAACTGATTGGTGGCAGGGAGGTGAGGCCTGTCAGCAGGGGACCCCTGCCTCCACCAGGAGGGTCTGGCATGCAACACAAAGTTTTACCTTTCAGAATACTGTAAAAAATATGAAAGCAAAAGCTGAAGAGGGGGCTTCTTTCTTTTTCCCTTCCCCAGACCCCTCCCTTTCATTCTTCATCCACAGGACTCAAGGCACATACTCTGCAATGGCCTGAGGTTCCTTTTCTTTGTTGATTTCACAATACCTGCCTGGTTCTCAAAAGTAGATGACTCCACTGACTGGGTGTCCAATAGGGTCGCCAAATATAAATTACGTACCGGCGGGGGAGTGTCCTCTCACTCTGGGAGCCAGCCGGGGATGCGTGCGCGCGCCGCCGGAATGTCACCGGAAGTGACGCACAACGTAGCATGTTGGGGGCATGGCCAAGATCGTCAGGGGGGAACCATATGGTTTCCCCCCCAACGATCTGGGCCACGCCCCCAACGTGCCCTACGTCGTGCGTCACCTCCAGTGACGCAGCTTCGGGGGGCAGGGGTCCCCCCGGGGCCGATTCCGTCGCATCGGAAATCGGCCCTCCAAAGCGGGGGATTCCCCGCCCCCCGGGCCCATTTGGCAACCCTAGTGTCCAATGAATTACCTGGGATCACTGCCTGAAAATCTCAGTTATTTGGGACCATTGCAGGGCGTACTAATATTATATACCAAATCACACAGGGACAATTCACACTTCTGGGAAATGTTAGGAGGTAACCATGTATACTCTATCACTAAAACATACATCTAGCCTGGTATTTTGTAACCACGACCAGCTACGCCCCCAAGCCTGCAACAAGACTTCATTCCATATTAGGGTTGCCAAGTCACGGCGGGGGATCGTAGTTCTTCACAGAATCCTTGCCGTGGGGACAGCGAGACGCGTTGCACCCGCCGTTGCCAGGATCTGACGCTATGTGTTGCTCTGGCAATGGGGCTCCAAACGGGGCTCTCGCCGTCCCCGCAGCAAGGATTCTGCAAAGACATGCAGATCCCCCACCGCGATTTGGCAGGCTTATTCCATATGGATATGATACTAGAACCTTGTTTGGAGCTCTGGCCAGAAGCTCCAATGTTTGCAGCAATTCCAAGAAAACAAGGTGCAAGATCCTGGTGAGCTTACAAGGAGATTTTAATAACTCATCAAACTTACAGAAACAGCAGGGTAAGCTTCCATCTGCTGGGCCTCAAACACACACACACATAGCAAAGCTAGCCAGAATCTGAGATGAAATATGTAGCTAAAACAAAACATCTTACATCCTAATTGCTGGCTACAAGTCAAGAATATCGTCATCAATGCTACATCCCTAAACAATGAGAAAAGCCAGGCCATATCTCGCACCTGGCACCTAGTAGCTGAAAAAACAAGTCAACTTTCTTAGATAAGAACTTGGGAAAGTACTAATGAAAACAGGCAGAAAGGTACTCTTGGGAGCAGCTTGCCGGCAACTGGACATCAGGCACTAGCAGAAGACCAAAATGGAGTTACAGAGGTTACACATACCTTTGACTGGGAACTTGGGGAAATATAGTGCAAAATCTAAAATGCAACTGGCCACATTTCCCTGATTGTCAGAATAACCCTAAAGTGGTCTTTCACACACTGGATTGCCTGAATCAAATGTCTCATTCAAGTGCCATTTGTTCATTATCTAATATGACCTTTCCCCTTATTAGCTAATAAGATTGGACATGATTTGAATTAGCAATGTAACAGCTGCATCCTAGTTGTTTACTCTTCTATTAGCTAAACTAAGATAGATAATTAAAAAGTTTAAAAACAGATATTGTTTACTTCCATAAACAAGTAAAGAAACAGCTTGAGCCCCATCAATGATTACATTAAGTACTTTGCCCAGACAGCATTCAATGGGTAATTTAAGAATCGGAATTGGAATAAGCTAGTCTGTTTCATTATATCATCAGATGGTTCCATTAACCCTTATGCTCTGAATGATCATAAACACACTCCGCCATTGCAGTGTGATGTATTTAACACACTCAATATGCTCAAGCATTTTATGTTGATTTGAGAACACAGAGGAAAAACTTGTTCTTGGGTTTGCTAACTTGATGAATGTTAAGGGCTGCATTTTCAAAGCAGCGCTTGCAGATTCAACAGTGAGGGGACTAATCTACAGGAAAATCTGTTCCCAGCAGTTTAAAAGTGTATCACCAACAGTCATGATGCCAAAGTGATTAGACATAATCCTGCAATATCCCTGAAATATGTTGGGAAATGGGCAAGCATGCTTTA